AACAATCTAATGTTAATTCTGGTACAGGTCGTACAAGCTACAGTAAAAAATCAATGAAAATTTGCACTTCTTAATACATCTCTAAACAGTTTCAACAAAGGAAAGAACAGAATGGTTCTATGTTGGCAAATTTTGTACTAATCTCCTAGAAATAGCTGAAATTATGATTTAAGAAGTTTTCAAAAGGTTTAAAAAAAGCGGCTTACTGGATCACATCTAAAGAAGACCAAGGAGGTACGTGTTAATATAAACCACCTTCTCTTCCATGATGTCCATCCGATTCCTGCACATAGAGGTAAAAACTTGAGAGTTCAGAAGAACTAGAAATTGTGTCTCTAAGCACCAACAAGATACTGAATTTTCTTATGAAATATAATATCTAAGACAATATAAAATATAAAGAGTGAAAAATAAAGCACAAAAAGCCCAGCCAGACAACTACTTTCTAATTTCTACGCTTAATCGTCCTACACAAAAAGCATCTTCTTCAAGCAAGTGTGGCATGTCCATCCTAAGAATGCTGAGGGATCCAAAGAATGCAATTATGCAATTCACTGAAAGGAACAAAAAGTGTAAAAGAGTCTTGAAATATAAAGATGCGTGCCATATAGCTGACCATTGCACATAGGGGGAAATGTGGCTATAGACTAAGTAAAATAATAGATATTAGCATGCGGTAGTTCTTTCCATACGTGTGCTTAATAAAGACAAAAAATAGATCTTTCAAGAAGAACATGTGGATGCTCCAAACAACCACAAGGAACAACTAGCAGAATACAGCAGGAAATATATAGCAATATAACGTACATAATGAATATTGCAGAAGCAGTGTGGTGTGCCTGAAGACTGATATAGACAAAGATCCAGCCACTATTTAAATTCATGTCCTTGCTTATATAAACTAAAGAGAATGGATAAAGTAGACAATGTTTCCTCCAAACTTCGCTTATTGGAGACCATGAGTAGACCCTCAACATTCTTTACTATTCTTTATGAATGATGCTCCACTTTTCCAGGTATATTTTCACGATTATGCTACATGTACATCATCATTTATAGATTGGTTTACATAAACATGATATAGTGAGATATGATTGTGTCAAAATTTCATCAACCAAAAAATAATAATAATAAAATAAAAAATAAAAATTGTTCACTCTCTTCTTGAACCTCATCTTTACGTAAATCTTTCTAAAACTCATTATGTACAAGTAGCATTATTCATATTTTCATTTAAGACTCTTTTAAGAATTTGTTTATATTGAAAAATATGTTCTCCATACTTCACAATATGTTTTTTTTTTTTCTCAGTTGCGCGATTCCTAGCTGCTAGATCCTGATTGTTCTGACTTATACTGTTGTAACTACAATAATGTTATTTCGCCGAAAGAAAAATATAACATAATTACCCATGCATCTAAAAAGGAAAGAAAGATCATATGGCTTGAATCTGAAAGCGAAAATTGAAGAAATGCAGTGTTTTAAATCTAAAAGAAATAGGAGAGAATTTTCATTCATCTTAGAATTCCAGCTCAATGGCATGAAGGTTTAGACAGTTTTATTCTATAGGAAAATGTATCAAGTGGCTAATAGTTCAACAGACAACAACCTCATATCAATGTGTAATGAAAGAAAGGAAAGAAATTTGTTAACAGCATTCTTTTTTATTTCCTAATTCAGAAAACGAAAAATCAAATGAAGTGGAAAACATACCTTTCGATGATAAAAACAGAGGGCCGCTCTTATATACCTGCACATTGATGTAAATTATACTATTGGATAACCTTTCTATTGCAAGGTCCAAAACCAAATTTCATTGATTCTGTATATGTAACACTTATGCACCTGCAAAATTCAGCATTAATTTCTCTAATTTATATATTTAAATTTATTTGCAGAGCAAACTTAAGTCTTGAGAAACTACTATGTTACATGCACAAGACAAAAATCCTAGTAACAACATTTCCCAGATCAAGGTACAGTTTTTGTTGTCTAAGCTCATAGCTATACACTTCCATCCAAAACTAAAATCAATTCGATTAATCTTTTCCAACTCTTTGGGGTCAATTACATTAAATTATGGGATCATTGTATAGTTTAGCCAAACAAAAAACAAGGCAATAAAATCACAAGTAACAATTCAATTCAACTAAGCCTCATGTGAAAATTATTACGTCGGCTATATGGATATTCCTCTTCCACTCTAATATTTCGGTTAAATCTACTTTCATGTGTTTTTAGGTGAACCTCTTTTTCTACATTTACCATTAATAATAGTCTCATCAATATTCCTAATTGATCATGCGTCATACTTTGAATATGGCCAACCCATTTTTAATTGATTCTCCTAGATTTTCTATATGTACTAGTTAACCAATCCAAGGATATCTTTATTTCTTCATCTATTTCTTTCCCCACCGAACAATCTCAACATTCTCACATTAGTTTCACTCAGTTTAACAGTAACTATATAAACGGACAATTCCAAGCCAGAGAAGGAAGAATATTTGCTTCAGGTAGTTTCATGCCAAACTTGAACCTTTCTAGCTCCCAAGTTAACAAGATTATTCAATATATGTATCCATATAGATTTGAGATTGAAGGTAACTGTCAATACGACTGTAAGGTATCTGTCAATACGACTGTAAGGTTTCTGTCAATACTATATTGACATAGAGGAGAGAGAAAGAAAAAGAAAAAATATAGTATTTCACATTGAAACACATGTCATACTATGTGAATTTAAGTGTGCTATTCTCCAACCACAGTTCACTCTCTAATATTATCCAAGTTATTCTTGATAATATCTGCATGCATGCTAAAGTAATTATTGCAAAACATTCAAACCCCAGATATCAAAGCCTTAAACTTGGACGTCATAATTTGTTTATGGGCTAATAAAATACAAAGTACCTTATTGCCTCCATGAACGGTAGGGCCTGGCAGGACGGAAGGTGGAGACGGCACATTACCATCACCTTCCCCCTGAAACACAGCATTCGGATTCTAGTAAATAAAAAATAAAAATTAACTAACGCAAACCCAAAATAAGTCCCAATAGGCAGAATTATTACGATCATCGTGAATCAGTTATCAAAACGTACCAGAGAAGATTCTACATCCCGGTTGTACATTGTGGGTTTGCGAAGAACGTAGGATCAACAGTAAACCAAGGAACCTGAAAATACGTCATTATGAATCTAAAGCAGAACACTAATTGAAATTAAAATATGCGCGGGTCAGAGAGAATGTAGCTAGGGAATCCTATCCACCTTCAATGCGATTAGCAGGCATAAATACAATAGATGGATAGAATTTTAAAGGGGAAAGAAAGAAAAGAATGAGTAACGAGGAAATGTGCGTGTTGGGAGAGGGTGTGAGAGGAAGAAAACCAAGGATCAAGCAACAAGCGCATGAACCAAGGATCTTGCACTTGACTTGCTCGACTTGTGCTCTTTTCATGTATCCAAATCAAAATTCGAGTTAGACATATGTTGTCCTCAACTTTCACTATCCATCAATACTAGTAGTGCTATTTCTGAACACCGGTTAGAAAATAGCGATCACTTCATATTTTTTATTTTTATAAATTTGATATGCATTTTAATTTATTAAAGAATATGACAGATGGATTATCAAATTAGTTATCAATTAGTAACATTATTCTTTTAAAATATCGTCAATGCATTATGTGGATTGCTATTCAGATGCACAAAATTTAAAAAAAAAAAAGAAAAAAAAATTAGATCTAAGTGAATGCACAAAAAAAATAAAAAAAATTAGATCTAGGTGACATTTATTCTAGTAAATAGTTGGAATAATACTACTTGTACAAATTGGGCCATAACATGTGACATGACGATGATGTATGGCGAAATAATAAGACCGATTAAATGTGTAGGTATAAGATTTTCTTTAGTAACATTATGGCCATGTTTGAGTCACATTTTTTCAAAAAAATATATTTTTAAGCAGTGACATCATTTCAATCACACATTTTTCAACAAAATAATAGTACACTCAAATTCAAAACTTTTCTTTACTTTTTAACCACACATTTTTCATCAATACACTATTCAAAAACGCATTCTAAGGAAAATAATATGACTCAAACAAGAGCTATCATTTAATGTTGCATCATATGGAGATCGTTCCCAATTTGTAAATATAGCATCACTTAATAAATAGATAATCAAGTCAAAAAAATCTCAAATGCATTATATTGATTGCCATCTAGGTGTCACAAAAGTTAAAAGACTCTCAATCTACGTAACGTTTGTTACGTACTGAAATAATTGTTGTCCATCTAGGTTCCACGTCAACCACAAAAGATACATTTCATGCCCACATATCTTTGAACATTCACATCTCCATTGCCAAGGTAAGGTTGAGCAAAAGATGTCTTGGCTACTGGAGCACCACTAAGCAATAAAATGAGTAAAGCCCTAGAGCTTGACTAGAGACACAACTAGAAGCTTTAGTAAGCAAAATGAATAAAGGTTTTGAAATAGCCTCGAATATGGATAAGAACCTTGGTGTGAGTTTTATCAAAATTAATCTCGATCTCAGTGCATTGAACCCAAACACACACATGATGGATTTCTTGAAAGGGGTCACATAACACAGACCTCAATAAAGTATAGAAAATGAGACTTTATTATAATTCCCAACATAGTGATGAGAGAATATCAACTCATAAAAGTGATCACAACGCCCATAAAAGCGACTATAAATAAGACCATTACATAATGATAAAGAGTTAATATATGATATCCAAATTACTGCTTTAAAAAAAATACTTGAATCAAAGGTAAATTTGGTATCAGAGCTCTCAGAAGTTTAAACACAATCTCAATCAAAAAGCACTTTTTTGCCAAAATAACCCTGAAATCTCTGTCTTGGTCCTCTTATATAAATAATTGGCTTCTAAACACGCCCAAAATTTTCAAAAAGAGGAAAAATTATGATGAAATGTAGTAAAAACTCGATTGTTGGCTTTAAAAATATCATCCTCTTTTGAAGTCAACAATATGGATAAAGGATATAAAAAGTCACGAAGTATGAGTGAAAGTGGGTCAAATGGCAATAAGAATCCAAGGAGTATTGGAATAAAAGCGCCACTATATCAAAAGAAAACACTCGAGACGAAAGAACTGAAGGACATCTAGAAGGGTAGCGAAGCTAAGTCGAACTTTAGCCGATATGGATGGCTCCAACATTTTGTCAAGAATAATGTGGCAATAAGACAGTTTTTGATGTAACAAGTCAGGTAGCTTTGCCTCTCCAATAGGACGAAGGCTCTATGAAAAGATAAGACCATCCCAGATGAGGCATCAAGGGGATTTAGTACAAGAGTTGGGCAAAAAATGACAACCAATCTATCAAGGATGAAAACTAGCTTCTCCACATACTTCTAAAAAGGAACGGGAGCATGCTGCTTAATTAGAAGGGATGGATGATAATTATGAATACACCCTATTTCCGAGACAATAGAAGTGTTAGGAGGCCCTACAAAGTTCCTAATGCCAAATATGAAGAAATTTAGTGGAACAGGAAATTCCATCAACCACATTCAAGAATACAATACCCACGTGAATTTTCTAGAGGTGAGCTCAGTACATAGGACACGAATGTGGAGTCTTTTCCGTTACTTTCTTCGAAGGAGCCAAAAATGATACAATAAACATATACCATGCAGCATCGAGAGTTGGCCTAACAATAAAAAATAATTCATCCATATGTTCATCACGGGCATACCTAGCTCGACTTCAATGAAAGGACCATGACATAAGCCATAGCTCCGGAGAGCCTTTACAGAGCTAGCTTAGTTGTTTCATAAAAAAATGTTAAAATGGAGAGCTTTTGCAAGATAAGGCTCTGAGGTTCGATTTGGAAGGGACTACTACGTTTTGAAACGTATGCAACTGAACACCTAAAACATATATGAATTAGTAGATTTGGTCAAAGAAGAGATCGGTGATCAAAACAATGATAAAGCTAGTAAATCCACATTAGATGCAAGACCATGCAGAAAAGAGAAAGGTTCCGATGTTAAGTCAAAGGGCTCCAAAGCCTCCTCGACCATGATGTAACTATCATCACAAAAGTATGCAAGCGAGGCAAGGGCATGTCCTCAGCAAAATACTACGTGTACTATTAGTGTTATGACCGAGTTGCCACGACTTTCAAATGTCTGAAACCCTAGGTACAATAGACCCTTAATTTTATACATTGATCGAGAATTGACAGCTAACATATGGATCTTACTAATTTATTATCGAGTTATTCAAGTTGGCGGAACAATCACATTGGGGGGCTCTGGAACCAAGTGTGGGGAGTTCGATTCGTGGTTGGAGCAACCAAGTGATGTAATAACTAGAGGAAGGGTTGGAGCAGCTTGGTGATGTAATAACCATGGAGGAGGGTCCCTTTGGGGAAGGAGTAAAAGTCATGTGGGAACCTGGGAACCAACAAGGGATGTACCATTAGTGTTATGACCGAGTTGCCACGACTTTCAAATGTCTGAAACCCTAGGTACAATAGACCCTTAATTTTATACATTGATCGAGAATTGACAGCTAACATATGGATCTTACTAATTTATTATCGAGTCAATGACCTTATTCAACTATGCAATATTTAATTACACATTGAACGATAGTTTTTACGTGTATGTAATTTTTAGGGGGTGTAATTCATACTTTTAATGAATTTTTGGGATTTAAAAATTTTAGGGATATTTAATGTAGACTTTTTGAAAGTCTCTAAAAGTATCGGGCTATTCAATTGAAACTTTTCTAGGTTTTTAGAAAATTTCTAGAAATCACAATGTATTCAATTAAAATTTTTTAGAAATCTCTATAAATCTTGGGGTAATCAAATTTTAATGACTTTTAAAGGCTTTTATAAAAGTCTATGGAGTAATATTTCTTTTTCATTTTTCTTTCTATGAACATTAGAGTTACAATTAAAAATTATTTTTTCTATTTGTTTCTATTTATCTCTCTCGCATTATTTATCTTAATTTTATATGAAAAAAATAAATTGGATTCTTATAATTTTTTTCTTTTTTCATTCCTTTTTTTGTGAAAAATATCTATTTTTTCTTTAAATTATAAAATTTTATATGCCAAATTTATAATTAAATTTAAATATATTGATTGTTTATTTATTTTTAAAGATATATTATATTAATAATATTGAATATTAAATTTATTTTTTAACACACATACATATCATTTTAATTATTATTTATTTAATTAAGGTCCTAAATTTATTCTTTTTAAAATAACTTTTTATCTTATAGGGAGGGAAGGGAAAGAGGAAGGGAAATTGTTGGAACTACCACTTCGTTTATAAGAATTTCATATTACTTGGCTTTTTGTATGCTTTTATTGCTCGATTAACGATAGGATTTGAAGTTTAGCTTGTTGAAGAAAATACTCATGAATCTAGTAGTTATATAATGTACAATTGTTAACAAAAAAAGTATTTCATAATATTTTCTAGAGAAAATTGAGTATATTTTCTCTCAAAAACTTAAGTTCATTACTTTTTCATCATTGAAAAATCACGTTTAAAATCATAATGGATTCATCTTCCATTTTAAGAATAGCATTTATAATTTGTTGAATGTTTTTATCTTAAAATTTAGTATTTCAAATCTTAAATACAACATATTCACATTACTTCACAAATTATTCTTCATTCATTCATTATGATTAATGTTGTAAAATACTTTGACAAATTATCGAAATTCCCTCTACAAAATTTTGGAATATTCTTTATTTAATATAGCACCGTGTAAATTCTTTATCAAGATTTGGTGATTCAAGAGTTGAGTATTGATGAACATACTTAATGGTTCATCAAGAATGTTTTCCCATCATGCTCGTTAAATGCAATCCCGTCATATGCTAATTGTCAAGATAAACGGTTCAAATATCAATTTAGATATTTTTTAACTATTGGATAGACATCATAACTTTTCGTTTAATCGATTTGCAACTGTTCAGTAGAATTTATTCGTAGGTGTCTCATGTATGCGTTTAAAGTCCGATATATTAAATTGTGCAGAATGTTTACCATTTTGTTTGCTTAATCTCAAGTATGAGTGATAATTTGAAATTCATCGTATCGAATGGAAGATAGTTTGTGCACATAGTTGATAAATGGAAGTCACAAGTGAACGCAACCACTTCAATCATAGTTCCATGTAATATCACTCAGCAGAACTTACCTTACGATTGATGGAGAAAGTTTGAATTCATGATTTATGTACTAAAATAGTATTAAAGCCTTGTTTGATTCTCATTCTTCCCAAATTATATTTTTCTCTCTTCTTTTCAACCACATATTATTTATTAAAATAATATTATACATAAATAAAAAGCTTTTTTTTAGTTTTCAACCACACATTTTTCATCAATTTACTATTCTAAAATGCATTTTTTCATAAAAATAGGGCTCAAACACCCTCTAAAATTCAAAGTCTTGAACATGAATATCCGCCAGTTAAAATAAGCAAAGATGAAGACTTGAATTGGTATATATCTGTTCACAAAGAAATAACTTTCTATGTTAAGTCTTGTCAAAATCGAGAATTCAACTATCCAACAATTCACATAGTAAGGGTTACCGATTCCAAGAACCTTCGTTTGTCAAGGAGGAACGATATGAAAACTAACAACATCATTTTTTGTGTAATATAATCATATTTGTGTTATTACCATTGCACAAATTTTCTCTGACTTTCAAAACAATTTGTGAACCATGTGTACTAAACTAGAATCTTTAGCAAAATAACTGATTGGACACATAATTTTTGAAGATGAGTACCCACTTGATAAAATATAACGAGTTTACATAAACAATATTCTATGACAAGTTTCGTGTATTAGATACAAAAATTATTGGATTCAGCTGAGAGTACATCCACAACTTGACATGAGCTCCTCATAATATTGGATTCAGCAGAGAGTAGTAAATAGAAATTGAAAATCGATAAATACAACCCCAAGTCACTTTGTGTGTGAATTATTAAAATAGGTTGTAGCATCTATAAAGTCCCAAATTTTCTGTAATATGTTCAGTTTTGAAATAGTAGTTGGAATACCTCTAAATTTGCAACAAGTGTGGCTGGAGAGATGGAAATTAAAATTGAATACTATCTTTCTTCCTGAAACTGTAGTGTCCGCATGTAGCCATTTCCCCCTTTTTTTTTTTTTTTTTTTATGATGGGGGACCCGCAGTCGCTACCCTTCGAGTGTACACTAGGTAAACCCTCGAGCTGACGCAATAATCACGCCAGCCAGATAAATCGCACTAAATAAGTGCTATTCGACAAGCTCGATCGAGAGTCATTTCCCCTTTCGTATACATTGTAATTGGAAGAAGAAGTAATTGCCTTGGCCCCATCAAGAATTAAAAGGAACAATTGTCCATAAATTGAAGTACACAAGCTGGAAAATTATAGGATAATGAGAATCTATGACCCATAAGTCACTATTTTTATAATTGAAAGAGATGTCCCAAGTTAGATAAATAGAAGCAGAAGGATTCTGCCAAATGAAGACCACTGTACAAGAGGCCCAATGATAAACCAATACCTTCTACAACCTGTTTAAGTGGATGAGATCAATTAACAAGAAGCCAACAAAAGTACCATGAGTAAGCTGTAAATGTTGGTTTCTTCTTCTGCCAAGTAAAATAGCTTCCAAAATCTGATTGAAAAATTCATCTCTATCCAAACAAGCAGCCATCGTTGTCTTGTCTCCATCGAAATTTAATGTGGACACATGGATAAAAGCAAAAATTGTACACTATCATCCCACTAGCGTCGGCGGTTACTGTAATGGAGGTCGCCGAAGCGAAATTCAACCGAGGGTTTTCATGAAGCTGGTAAGAACGGAGTTAGATTTCCTAGATCATTGCACATACCTTTGAATTCCACCATGAAGAGGTTCATCAGAAATGACCAGTATCAAAGCACTAAGGGCTGTATAGTGCCGGTGAAGTGATGGCCACTGTAAAGTAATGTAGCAGGAGATGTAATATAAATAATCATTCATTTTTGTGGTAGTTCCATTTTGAAGGTTTCCCACTGGTGATCTCCTTTTTGGTAAATAGGTATATATAATACTTTTTGGAGTGGTCAATATTTCATGTTTGGGTGTGTGAGATATTCAGGGGCTTGATCTCTATTTCATTTGACTTGTGAGTTTTTGTGTTTGAAAGACCAAGGCAGAAAGTTGTGGTGGTAAACGAGGTGATCCTCCTCGGTCTCCACGCCTACTGCCAAAACCAACAAAAAAAAAATTCCAGCAGCAAAACTCACCTCTTTACATGTTTTTCTCTCCTTTCTTTGAATGCTGACCATGATCTTTTTAGTAGAACTAGTCTTATGTCCCGTGCAATGCATGAGCCATGTTATTTTTAAGGTAATGTTAGTGTGTCAAATATTACTGGAATTATTTTGAAAGTTCCATAAATTTTCACCTAAATCTTAGGCACTTACTAATCTTTGGTATTTAGAAACACACTGTAAGTATTATGCCCTAGGTCCAATCAACTTTGGACATAAATACTTTTATATATAATTAATGCAATTAAATGACAGATCTATTATTTAATTAATAGACAATTAAATAAATAATAGAGTCCGTAGATTCAAATATTTGTAATTTGTTAATCACGATGAGTTGTGATTGTGAGATACAAATTACATTTGATTGAATCTTAAATCATCCGTGGTCGTAAGTAATAACGAGATACGGATATCGTTATTACGGATAGACCATCACGTGTGGCATTTCTTACTTGTGAAGTAAGTAGCTGATCTCACAAGTTAAAGTGTGGTGACACTTAAATGAACACGTGGATGTTTGTTATAGAACAAAACATTGGAGACCCGTCGAGAGATTCCACATGGATAACTATCTGAGTGTCGGTGGTTAATCTCTAACGTTCGGTAGTGAAATTGGTCCTTTGACTTGAGGTCGTCATGGTACCTTATATGAGGACAGTCATACTTTGACGGTGTCGGATGTTGCTCTGAAAAGGGCCGCTAATACGACATCGTTCGGGTACTTCAAGAATCGTATAAAGGTTGTGATTGATCAATAAAGGATTCGTCACTCTTAGATAGTAGGAGATTATGATTTGCGTTTCATCCAATTAAGTCAATGATCAAATCCTTGGCCAAGGTGTACTCATAAGTCGAAAAGGAGTTTTCGATTTATATTGACTTAATAGTGGAGTGAAAGATATGATCGATGATCGAGATTGACACAACTCCATATCTCGTAATTGATCGGATCATATTGACGAAGGGATTATAGTTTCACGGTAAACGGACGAATTTGGTTTTGTCATACCACGTGACATTTTTCGTCACATGTACGGGTTTAATTAATTGGATTAATTAATTATTGGACCGGACCGGGCCGAGCCTGTTTGGGTTTATATAAATACATAACTAGGGTTTGAGGTCCATTAAGGTTTTCATTATTTTTGCTAGCACAAGAGAAAACCCTAGAGGCTGCAATCATATTCTCTGTGTGGATCACCGTTGGAGGCTGGACAATTGGACAGCTGTGGTGGCGAATCAAAGTTGTGGAACGAAAAGAAAAGCAAAAGGATTGCAGATCTGAAAAAGGTACAATCTTATCACAATTCCTAACCAAACACAATGAGATCTATTGGATGGGAATCGAAATAATTTAATTTTCCGCTGTGCATGTATAAGTAGATTCCCAACACACACTTGGTAAATAAATTTTGTGACTCGGTTCACTCTAAATAACATATTCCTAAATGTCATTGTGTATGTGTGAGATTCTTTTAGGGATGAGGTTTTCATGTGCAAATGAAGGTACATATTTTAGTCACGGAAGTTGATACATATAAAACCACAATAATATGAACTTGGAATTGGATACGCGCACTATCAAAATAAGCGTATGCCTAATGAAATAACTTTGTGCATCCAATCAGTATGGCATGTAAAATACTTATGGATAGATTAGGTTCATATATATACTCAGATGATCAATACATCTAAAATAGTAATCAAATGCCAAAGGCAGGAAATAATGCTTTCTGTAGAAAAGAAAATGTTTATAATATGGAAGATATATCTCCAAGGCGTGATAGAGAAATCAAAAAATTGGGAAGAAGATATCGATGCTTTTAAACTAATTTCAATAACAAGAAAGTAGGTTGAAGCAGGTTGAATAACTACAAGAAATAATAGCAATTGAATTTTCATTTAAGAAACTTTAAAATAGATTTGCAATCATGCCGAAGTTTGTGGACCAAAAGGCTTGTAGGAAGGTCTCTTTCACAACTCCAGTATCGGCTTCTTGTGCTTGGGCTTTGATGCCTCTTGTTGTACTTTCTCAATATTGTCCAACATTACCCCTTTCACTTATGTTATTTAAGCTTTAAATTTGGACAACTTGTTTCTTCTAGATGGTTCATATAATGAAGATGAAAATTCACTAAATTATCATTAATGAATCTATCTTTAAAATCAATCTGATCAAAAAAAAATTCCAAAATGTCTTTATGGGAGTAACCTGGGCAATAAGGCAGATGGGGCCTATGGGGGAAAAGAGAGCCATAAAGTCTAAGAAACTGAAATGAAATTATCTATAGAGAACAACTTACCATCTGCCCTTGCTTTACATTTTTTTTTTTTTTTATCTCCACGATCAATTTCTTTTCTTGTGCTTGTAAATAGTCTTTTTCCTTCCAATTTCTCGAATGGGTTTATCAAGCATCCTCTTATTCTACCAGAGCTCTGAAAAACATAGTGTAGAATTTGAAATTAGAAAGTAGCTTACCTAGAATATTAATAGAATTAATTATGGTACATAGATTCTATATAATACCAATCTTACCTCAATCCTAATCAGGTTATTTGGTAGCCAACACATTTAGAATATGAAAATTATTATAGTCACATAAAATGGATCCGGTAAAATAATGGAGTGTTTATTTCGAGAATAATTTCTTTAAATAATTGATATAGGATCAAAATAATACAAATAAACTTACAAAAATTTCTTCAAGATCCTAAGAAGAATATGCCTGAACAATTTTTTCCTTTTCTTTTATCTTATACCTATAGATATAAAAATCAAAGAGAGGAAAAATAATATACTATGCAATCAAAAAATAGTTACTAATCTAGTGTCATTGTAATCTTATTTAGACATAGCTAATCTTATATCTCCAATATAGCAGTCATTTAATATCAGGATATAACAAAAGGTTATTAAGGCATAGCTATTAACAAAAGAACAATCATAAGTTAATCATAGATAACCTCTAAACATGATCACCATATGATGAGAGTTGTAAGAATAAAAATGAGCACCTAAGGCGACGTTTGCAATGACAGAAAGATGAGTTCAACCGAAGAAAAGGATAGCCCCTAGGTCTTCGAAGCAAGTATTAGATGAATAAATAAGCATGAGAAGATTGTAGGCTGATTCAAATATTATGTATGGAGATAGATACAAAAGTGGAACTTCTAAAGCAACTAACCTTTAAAAATATAAGGTTTTGAAAGTGATGTCTGCTTTTTCCATCCAGAATCAACAACTTTGTCAACCATAGGAATATACTCATCATATCGTGATAAGTTACCAAGCTAGAGTTTCCATTAGCTTTAACTAGAGAAACAAGGACATGAGATAATCAAAAGAGAAAGGTTGATCCTCCACATTAATTTTTGTGAGGGATTGAGAAAGTGTCAAAACTTTTCTATGCTGTGTTCACACTGTATATGGTAAAGATATCCCTTTCTTAAGTAAGGAAAATTAGTTTTATAGGAAAAAATATTTCTTACAAGAAACTGTGTACTTAGTTATATTTCATGAAGAATTTGTACCTTATATCATAAATAAAATGATAGACATTATAAATAATAATTATCAAACAACCAATGAACTCTTAAATAATGTCACTTTACTTGATTTTTTTAGTAGCAAAAGATTGCACAACCCGACCTATAAAAATTTGATCTAAATTTGAATTTCATGAAACTGGACACCTTTTTAGGGTATATACAGATGCTTTTAAACCAATCAAAGAGACGATATCAAGCAATTGATAATTTTGCACTTGTGTTGCAATTAAGCAAATACTAACTGATCTACGAGCACCAAATTAAATATTTGCACAAGCTACCACCAGAATCAACACTAAATAAGGGAGGTTTCAATTAAACTTATATAAAACATTATTTTCAATAGTAGCTAATTAAATATTTAATCTTGAAATTGTAAGGCTTGACTATACCTCCTCACAAACAGGAGTCAATCAAAGATGCGAGTAACTCCTAATAGGTTTTGGTGAAAGAAATATCTTCAGCTTCAGAACCAAATTCAACAGTTGAGGTGTCACTGCCTTTTACCTGCTTCAACGACCAAATAAAAACAAAATCTCACATAAAACAGAAATATTGTGTAGTTGTGCCTAATCATATGCACAACAGACATAGTCTATACAATCTAGTAGTGGGGCTTAGCATAAACTATCTCTCCGTCGTTGTTAAGATTTTCAACCACCTTCCTGGCAGTCGTACTTCACCATCAAGCACTATCTGCAACATGATTTCGAGCCATTTATTATTTTTTAACATGATCAAAATTATAAGACAAGTATTTATATATTATCTTTGTAGATCAATTTAATAGCTCCCATGTTAGGAAGAACCTTTTGTATCTCGGGGAATTTTTCATGGTCCTTTATCTAACCGAAGGCAAACCCCTTAGTCTACAAAGATATATGTTCCATCGAAGAATTCTGATCACTACACACACCCAAAAATTTACTTCAGAATCTCGAAATAAATTTCAATGTTCGTAATTTGCAACAACGGTTCTCATTGTTTTGCACTTGGTATCGTTTATTTCAAGCAACTTGTTCTTATATTTGTTTCCAAGAACATGTGAGATATTCCAGAAAAAAGATAGACTAAGTAATTAAAGTTGGCCATTTAAGTGAGAAAAATAATGTTTCCAGATGGAAAAATGAAGAAATAGCAACATACATGTATCTTAGTGGCGACCCTAGGATCAAGAGAACTCTTTACAATATTCTACAGTAGCATAATACCTGGACCATCTTGATGATAAATATTTTATAAAATATCTGCAACATTTGGATGACACAATATATTACACTACCAAGACTAAACAAAACCTAATATCTCTGATCAAATAAAAGATCGAAATGTTACTTCAGGATAATTATCGATAAAAATTCAAATAGTTGATACTTTTCCAACTATATACTAAAATGTTCTCAAAATCTTAACCACCGACTACAATATAGGAAAAACTATAAAGTAATGCAACAAAATCATAAATTGTCCTACTAAAGGAGGAAGGGATGTCTAGTTACCTCCATAGTAATGAGGACAAAATCGAGACATGTACATGTTAAACCAGGATACGCTTTATATTTCCATTCGTACATGCAACATTTGAGGAAATGTAGTAAAAGTGTTGTATAATAACCTCAACATCATATGATAATCATCAAACTTGTTTGGCAATTAGCATCAAGGCTCGTCGAAATGCCTTAATAGCTTGCAGCTCATTAGCATCTCGAATTTCCTCAAATGAAACAAAGTTGCCACTAACACCACTCTATGCTTGACTTTGAAGACACGTTCAGTGCTTTCTTTTTTAGGGAATCGATTCTCGTCGTTCTTTCATTTTAAGAATTCTCAAAAATCGGATTTTCTTTCTCTTCTCTCATCATTGCCAAACGATTTCTCAAAGCTTGTCCCATGAAAAAAAACTACAAATATAAGAAAATCATTTTCACAGAGAAATTTACAGCATGATTCGTACTATACTCCAACTTGCTTAGGAATTAACTATTTTATTTATGCTTGAGATGAACTAATAGTAAAATTTCCTCTACATATAACCAATTAGCTCCAGTTATCATTGACATCCGACATCGGGTGCCAATTGAAGATTTTATTCTATGTGCTAAATTGGATTGGAATAGAAGCATAATTGTCACATAATATAAGCATGTTCCAAAACACAAGACTAACTATTAAGAACCTCCATTAAATGCTTTCTTTGAGTTTTTGTACTTATAATTAACTTCTATTTAATATGAGCTGGCATTCTTTTTTAAATTGTCTATAGGTATGTATTAAAAAATGGTTATGTTTTTATCCCCGTAGAGATCAGGGCTAACTTGAAATAACATGCATTCTAATCCGTTAGATGAATGCAACAAATTATGATCGACCGAGTAATTTGGAGAAAAATATACCTACCAACCAGCTTTAATGCTATTGAGATCTTCACCAAATGAACCACCCAGTAACCAAATTTGGGACAAATTGAACTCGTTATGATGCTGTTGTATTTTAGGTTACCAAACATTGAGAGTTGCTTTTGGGCCATGGTACTTGTCTCCTTCGGTATAGGGTATTGCGTGCAAGTGAAACCCCAAAATTAACCAAATGCATTAAGAAATGATATTTACTCAGTTAAAATAGTGAAAAGGAAAAAAACAAATAAAGAATGAAGATCTTGTTTTGTTTGAGTAATTGAGTTTAGGCAAAAACGAATAAATCGCAATATCATATGGATTTCAGTAGTGATGAGGAGTTGGAATATCACATATTGATCAATAAATGAGATTCATCAACTAAGAAGAAAAATATATTCTTTCACATCCTTTTTTCCCCTTATCTGGAAGGAACAAATATAGAATTAGTCCAAGTTG